AGCCAATATTCAGATAATGAACATTTGAAAGTTAGAATAGAACATGTGAAGTTCAGTGAACCGCACATGCCATACCAGAGCATTTCTGGTTTATCTGGTGAAGTACATATGAGCCAGGTCATGGTGTAGTTACATCAGTCACTTGGTGACAGATGTACACTGCCAGTACCAAGGTAGCCTAAATCACATAGCAGTGATTTCCTCCCGCTGGTGTAAAGCCATCTGCGTACTGAGCAACATCCCAGATTGAGTCACTTGCCTACTCAGCAGACAGTGGGGGCGGCAGCCCTGTTGCACTTCAAGAATATTCTGCACAGCACCCCTGGAGAGCCCACGCTTCTCCTCCCAATGCCCCTGGAAGCGGTTTCCCCAAGAGGGAGCACAGTCACAGCGTGTCTTGGTGGCAACAACATGGTGCTTCACCTCGCCCCCGTGCTACCACAGCAGTAGGCGCATCAGGGACCCTTTGCTAGTGCTGCTGGTGCTGCCAGCAGCAGATCTCTATCCAGCCTCCTCAGGCTGTTCACCAAGGACACCTGGCAGCAGCTGACCACCGACAAAGCAAGAGCATGCTGATCCTCCCATCACTGAGCTGGCACTTCCCGTTAGCACAGGCCCACCAGCAAACCCGCTCCATGTGGAGTCAGGCACACGGGCAGAACTTTGTCCTGCATGACAAGCAGATGTAGAATTTTAGTATGAGGAAGATGCTGGTCATGAAACATCAGAGCCTACGCCTGGATGACCAAGATGAGAGTCCCACTATTCATCAAGAAGGCCCTAGCCTGTGGGAAATTGGCAATTCCTTACTCTTATTGCTCTGTTACAAACCAGTTTGAGCTTGAGAAGACAGCAGCAATTTGAAGTGACAGCAGTCACACGCAAAGTTCCCAACCCATTTATCACCTTCTTGCGATGGATGCACAAAGGCTGCAGGAAGCCTTTTACGCTGGGGTTGCCCGACTGCTAGTGCTACAAAAGTTAACGCTATTTGCAGCTACTCTTAGCCAGCAGCAGAAACAATTTTTACCTTTATACTCCTAACTGTAGATCACCATCATTATTTTACTGCAGTCAGCATTAACTGGCCCTTTTCAGCCTAGGAAAGGGCTGTACAATCACAGCAGTTTCCACTAGGCCCTTTTTGACATTGCCAGTTGCCACCTCTGCTCTGTTGCTGGTTAATCCTGCCTCCCTGCTGGTGCATTTCCTAGGATACTGTTTGCCTGCTCTGTTCTTCGCAGCACTACAGAGAGCAAGGGGAAGCAGCTTGGGACTATGGTTACCCCAGCAACATAAGGTGAAGAGTGAGAGCCAGGGGAGACAAGTCATGAGGAAGTTTTATAATTGCCCGCTACCTTTCCGCTATGTGCCTATAGAAGGAAAATCAGGGATAAAAAGGGAAGCCTGAGGTAGAAACAAACATTTTGTCCTCTCCTCCCCCTGCATTTCCAGCTGCTGATACAACCCCTGCCCAGCAGTCCACTGCTTCCCAGTTTTGCAGGCTGCAGTGAAAGCTAGATTTCCAGGACTTACTGAAAAAAAAAAAAAAAAAAAAAAGAATGAAAGAATTGCATCAGCAGTAAAGGCGCACGAATTTATTAAGAATCAAGTAGAAAAAAAGTGATCAAAGCACGAAACAAAGAGCAAGAACCATACAAGACCGGGTGAAGATCACATTAACACTTTTCTATAAACCACCACATCAAGCAAAACTCACCTCTACCATTTGCCGAACAACTATTCTGATGAAGGTGGCATGAGAAACGTGTGATGGGGGATGGCAGAACTGAGGGAGCATCAGGTCCGGGTCCTGCAGATCCTTACAACATACTCTACCAAGTTGCTCGCTCTCACCTCCAGCACACAGCTCATTCCGCATTTATGCTGCTGCACATGTTTAACACTGACTGCAACTGTATTCTGCTTTAATCCCTAACAGTTATGGAGCAGAGAGTACACGCTTATTTCACTTAGTTGTTTTCAGCACCACAGAAGCTCCTCCTTTGTTGCCATACTTCAGTCACCATAGATGAAACTATTCTTTCAGATGGAGTAGGCACCCCGCACTCTTGGCTGTTTTGCTTTGGCCCCTCATGTCTTGAACAAGGTAAGCCACCATCACTCTCTCTTCAGCTAAAGAGATAAACCCTTCCTCAAAGAGATTTAAGGTTATCATAACCTTACATTTACATGGGCTTAGGGGGCTGGTTCATATATTTTGTCCCGCTACCCAAAGGGCGGGACGGAAGGTGCCGTGAAGGCACTAAATGGTGCAAGACAAGAGTGGACAAACTGACAAGACGGGCTCCAGGATTAAGGTTCACCCTGTAGCAGTATGAGGAAAATTTCCTGATTCACTGCCTGATGAAAGGTGAGAACAGATAGGAATAGCCTCCTCCGCTAGCTTCATAGGCAAGTCTCATGCTGGATAATAAATACAGCTGCACCATGTCAAGCCCCTTTTGCATGGAAATATTGCCATTCTT